CTGCGCATAGACATAGACTAAACACTGCTCTTCACCCCCCTCGCAGGATTTATAACCAGATGATTTTAACCTGTTAATCAAACCTAATTATTTATTCCTTTCCGGATTCCCCTCTAGGATTTTTAAGCAATTACTGTTACTACATGCTTTTCAGGATAATTTAAATCCGCTCCAAGTTTTGTAGTCAGCTGATGTTAACTGTAGCCCCCTTTTAGGTACATATGAGAAGAAAGAACACTAGTCTGTTTTCCATTACTCTGGTAGTAGCAGTTTTAAATCCTCGCCCAGTCGATCCCTCTTGGCCAGGTCCACTCGAACACAATCGTTACCTTACTGTTGGAACCTGAAATCACAACAGCCAACTCTGCAACTACTTTTATTCTCCAATAAAAGGTCTTCCAATAACTATAGTGCCTAACCCAACTTCAGTGCTTAGTGGGAAGCTAGAACAGTCTTCCACTGAGTGCTGATGTGTGTTTAACCCTACGAGACCTGAACTCCGAATCTGATTGAGCTCAGCTATAGTGAACCAATTTCCCACTCTACCCATATTTGACCACCACTTCTATTCAGATCTGAATAGACAACTCACTGAGTTGCGTACCTTGAAACAAGTCTATTCTTACTGAGACACAAGCTGTTACTCCCTTAGTCAACTAAGGACAACTGGCTACTGGCTATGTCCCGACTGGAGTTATCGTTGGGGTTTCCCTGTCCCTCTCAGGTTCTCTGTGATTCTGATCTTAACCCTCAAAGATCTCAGATTTCCTCCTTCTCTTTCATTGAATCTATGCCAGATTTTATTTTTTGCAGTCCTCACAACTATCATTGCCAGGTTACAATTAATCATTTATATTATAGTAGTAATTTAGATAACTAGTTACTTAGACTAGTAGTAATTAGTAGTAAATCATGGTAATTTAGATTATTATAGTAATTTAGATTACTATAAGAAAGTAATCTAAACCTGTCACTTTTATAGATTACACAAGAAATTGAGGATTTCATGCAGACAAATGCATTAAGAATGTTACATACATACAGGCAGCAAAAGAATAAATTGTAGATATTTGATCAAAAACAAATCTTTAAGAAACTACTTAATACTTAGATGTTTATGTTAATAAATTATTTACATATGATTTAAATCAAGTTATATTAAAGTTGTAGACTACACTAGTAAGATCTCAGTTAGAATACTGGGTACGGTTTTGGTCATTATGTTACAAAAACTAAATTGTTACTCTGGAATGATTCCAGAGAAGAGCACCCAGATACATTTCAGAGCTAAATGTCAATATTGTATACCGACATGTGAAAGAAAGTCTCAATCAAAGAAGTCTATAATGTGACCTTATTCCCATACAGTATTTCAAATCCCAAAAATGGAACTGACAAAGTCAACCCAATGGACGTCAATACTAAAACAAAATAGAAACTATGGGGATGTAAAATACAGTTTAAACAGAGTTTAGAACAAGACACTTAGACATGTTTCAAAATCAAGTGAGATGGATGGGACAAATGGTTTACTTTTGTTTTTAACTGTGCTTATGCTGTAATGCTGAAAATAGTGTAAGAAATAGCATAGTTCTTATGTTTAAAATAGTGTGGTAACCAAAACTTTATTTTTCTTTCTAATTTCCTTGTTATAAATTCTACACTACATCCAAGCATTTCATTGGTACTACTTGCTCTTTTTCTTGCTTTTCTACATTTGAAGGGAGGCTGAAGCTAATTTAAATTATTAATAATTATTCTCTCATTTAAACATATTTGAACTTAGCAGATGCCAATATAAACAACACGGAAGCTTTAGAAGTGAATGTTACTGGTCAGTATTACATGTTTACTTATTGCACAACAGTGTATGTGTAATATACATACATGTAACAGATGTAGAAAGAAAGAGACAGTAAACTGAGAAAATACAATTAATAGTGGAACTATACTCTACATTAAAAGATTAAAAAATGAGTCTTTAAATAAGATCAGAGTCTCTAATGAATTAGAGAAATTAGAGCTGCTCACATGAAGGCCTGATTCGCATTATGTATTGGTAGGGTACATATTGGTAAATCGAGACAAAATAGACACTTGTCATATTAAGTGACTGCACTCACTCAATAAATCCTTAAAATAACCTGGAGTTAATATTGGAGAGTATTAAGTGACTAATACAGTATATGAGGAGGGAAACTATTAAGTCCAGCCTAGATTTATACAGGAAGCCAGTGTAATTTATATAGTAATTGACTGTCATCTTGAAGGTTCAGAGAAAAAAAAAATTAGCAATCGACAGTATATCTATAACCTATTTTAATACATTAGTGTGAGAGATTCTCCTGATGAAAGTCAAGGGCTATTTGTTTTTCAATAAGCAGGATCTGACATACAGCTCAAAATGTATTCAAAATTCTGTGAAAAGGGAAATTTCCTGAATTATATTAGTAAATGTATATTTTATTTAAAATACACTAAACATTTATAAATATTTCTTTGCGGCATGTGCATCACTTATAAAATGTTAAAAGAAAATCCATCCCCAACCACATAGAGTATAAGCTTGAAGGGAACAAATACATCAATAAGGCCAGCTGTTCTTGTAATCTGTCTGATATTTGGCACCTGCTGCATTAAGGCATTTAAATCTCCTATAGACTGCAGCAATAATGAGACATCTTAATTGTCTAAAATGCACACTGGGAGTTTTAAATGTACCTGAGTGGGCCAGTACCATTGACGTACCATAAATTCCCAACAGACAGATCTGTGAAGTAGTTTAGTTTCCAAAGCTATATACTGTATGTGTCAGTGTCTTGAGGTTGGGATCAGATTAAAGAATCAGTGCTGATGCACTTTGTGTAATGTTCTGATAAAGGCCATAACAAAGATTTTAACATTTTGCAAAAATCGGGAGATTAAAGGAATTCAAAATGAATTAAGATAAATTAAGGAATCAAGGCATAAAAATAGGAATTAAGATAATGTTAAACTAGTTAAACTTGAACCGTATAAATGGGTTGTAGAACACTTCACTGTTGAAAGTTCACCTTCAGTTCAAAATTTTATTTGTTATTAAATTAAATTTGTGGCTCACCTAGGAAGGTCTTCTAGGAATTTTTCTTTCAGTTAATAAAAAAACCTTGTTAAGTTAATGAAGTAACATCTTTTCAGCCTCTGTTTAAGGAATAAGTTATCAGTGGTAATATGCTCTATTGCTGAATTCATAGAAAAATTGGAGACAGAACAAGATCAGACCAGAATTTGCTTA